AACCCTGTTTTTAGCACAGTACGCCCTCCACCACAGATTGACAAATTCACCCCGAGGACACGGCATTAAAAATTTTTGATGGAACAGTAAACCAAAAATGAAATATTTTATTTTATAAAAAAACGTTGCATGAAAGTGGGGAACATTTTGAAAACGGGCTTATCGGGATTGTTGATAAATAGTGTATTACCTTTTTGGGGGTAGAAACCACAAATTTTTATGTTTTATTACAGGGATATACTGAAAAGTTCCTTTTTGTAAAAAATATATGGAAAAATATTACCTTTTGGGGTAAAAAGCGTTGGACTCTTTTTTTCCGAAATTCCTAATGAAAAGGGGAGGCTTTTTATTGGGGAACTATTTACAGGAACATCTAGAATAGTATTGAATGTTCGCCATTGGGAATTCTAGCAAGGAAAAGGGGTGTTATAGGGCATAACTTTACCAGGGTTTATCCCTTGAACGGCATTACTTGCGCTACAAAAGTATGAGAAACAGCTTGCCTCCAGCTCTGCCCAACAACAAGAGGGAAATATTGCGCCTCTTTTCACAGTGACACCTCACAGCGCTCCTTTTCAGTAAACCTCAGGTTTATGGCAGCTTTAAACCAACGAAGACATGGGGAAAATGCAGCGATAGGGGAAAAAATCCAAAGGGCCACTCTTTGAGGCAATTAGCACGCTTAAATGCATTGAAACTAACTCTAATTTAAATATTGGAGATCCAGTCCTCCCTCTTTATTAAAAAAGACGGGGCTGGGCCAGCTTCCCCAGTTGAAAAAACTGGTAACCAATGTTTATTCAAATAAAGGGGCCAGCCCTCATTCAACAGCACCACAACTAAAGAATTCACTTTAAAACCCTCATTTCATTACTTCCAGAAGGGAAATTTTTTAACACCCTTTCCACTTTACCCGGACTTACAGCAAAAATCAATAAAATTTTAAACATTAAAAATTTGAACAGAAAAATAAATTCTAGAATATTTGCCATACAAGACTTCCAGAAAAATGGCTTCGGGGAAATTTTTTTGGCTTTTCCCAAAATGACAACTCCTTTTTTTACAAATGGGAAGTTTTTGTTGTCGGCCAAAAAAGGATTAACATAACCATACCACGGGCGGGGATGAAACCCACGGAAACAAGAGAAAAAAACCCAACCGTCGCGATAGCCACTCCCGGGCCCGCTAGCTACCAAAATATTCATCCAAATAGGTAAATTCCACACCCAAAGGGAAACTTTTACTGACAATCTCCACTACGTGGGGTGACGAACTCTACCAAGTCCACTCAAAAACTACCAACATGAAATTTCGAAAACGAAAGACACGATTGGGAAACAAAAACAAATTTTGGGTTTTTGCAATCGTGTAATTACCAAATTTTTTGAATGAGAGTGAGGTTTTAAAACCTACAAAACCCCATTAAAAGGTTTTAAAATTTTACAAAAGGGGCTCTTAACTGTTTATTTTTTTTAAAATTACACAATAGTAAAATTTTTAATTTCTGTTCATTTTTTCAAAATATAGCCGTGAAATTTGAATAAAATATATCATAAAACATATAGCAAGGCTAGCAAGTTATAACATTATTTTGTCTATATTCACGTACTGGTATTTCACCTGATATCTTCCATAACTAATATACGGTGTGTTGATGACCAACATACAGGAGTTTTTCATGTTTATAGGGATAAATTAATACAACAAACAGTGTCATTATGACTGTATTCCATTGTGAGGGAAATTTTTTTCGACCCCAAAAATCCCTGAACTACAATTTAGCATTTTTAATAATTTTCGTTCGGATTTTCGAAATTCATAACTAATGGCCATTGTTATTAGGTTACTGAGTATTGATGACCATAACGAAACGTAACTAATGGTCGTTGTTATTAGGGTACCGAGTAATGATGACCACAATGAAACATAACTAATGGTCGTTGTTATTAGGTTACCGAGTACTGATGACCATAACGAAACATAGCTAATGTTCCTCTTCTTGGATACCTAATGTTATTAGGTATCCCAGAAGAGGAACATTAAGAACACTATTTATTTCCATAGTGTTTTTCTGCTGTTTATTTGCTCGTGTCTACGATAGGTATATGTATGTGTTGACTGATTAATTAATTATCGAATCAGGTCATTAGATGAATCCTAACCAAGAACTCGTTGCCCATTACCTGGTAAGCAACGCTTTCACTTCACACATTCAGTGTCTGTGGTTCGATCCCATGCAAGGGAATTGAACACCGGGCGTGTTTCGTTATACCCATTGTCCCGTTCACCTACCAAGCAAGAAGGTACTTGGGTGTTAGCCGACTGGTGTGGGTCGCATCCTGAGGGACAAGACAAAGGACGCACTGCCTTTCTTGGGTTATCATGGGTGGCTATCCCTCTAAAGTTTAAAAACCCGATCAAAATCTTATCTCTTATCCCTATCCCTAGATTACCTAGGATTTCTTACCTCTATCTTGATGAGGGGATTTTGTATGCCCGGGTGTAGAAGTATTTCTGGTATCCTGATGGTTTCAGTGGATGGACCTTACACAAAGGCAGTAACTCATTAATGTATCTATTTAAATGCATTCAACATGTACAGTAAACATGTACTTACTGCCTGGTGAATGTGTGTAGGTTATTAAATCCCTTTAGGAAGAACACGCACGAAATACGTATACTAGTCAGAGTCAACACCCAGACAAGTGAGACAAGATAAGTGGTCTTGTCCGTATGGTGACGGGTCAAGGACAGTCCCTCCCTGTCTACACACTGTGCTCACGCTTGTTGGTAGCTGTGTTGATGTAATACTAGGTCACTCTAAGTTCCAAGTCTAACTTAAGTACTTTTAAAAGAGTTTGAGCAGGACCCTATTAAGTCTACAGTTAAACTAATCATACGATTAATTAAGTTTCTTGGATTTTTTATAAAAAACTAAGCGCTAATCCAGGAGTCGGCAACCCCAGGCAATTCGGCCACATCCGGCTCGCAGGAGGTTTTCGTCCGGCCCGCCACCTGGACACTAATTATCTAATTAGTATAGGATACAGATGCAGTAGTTCCCTTCAAGGTTAAGCAGCCTCTGGAAAAGTTACTTAGTGTCCTCCCTCTTTATACTTTTTTCATATACGTTTGTTGTCTGGTTGTAAAACAACTGTACGGTAGTATCTGCAGTCGATAAGTTTATATATAATAAACTTACATAAATCTTACTTTCTTATGTACTTACTTACTTACTAAATTACTTACCTAATTATCCTACTTATTCTCCTAAAAGCTAGTCAGTGTTACTCAGAGAAAATGTAGGACTGATTCTAGCTATGTAGGCGCCAGTGTGCTTCTCTGCAGGAAACTGGGAAAATTGAAATACTGGTTTTCATGCGAGAATTTCTAAGTGTCACACCTAATTAGCTTCAACTTTCAATGATAACAACTTGATAATTCAATTTGTGACCAGCTTTGAGCTTAATGTGCTTGTGTATTTTAGGATATTGGTTTCATTAGACTCTTTAAATGGTCTGAATTTGATTTGGGCGTTGTATGTCCTAATTTATCTTTGTCATCGAAGAAATGTGAAAAATAGTTTCCATTTGATGATTTGTGAATGCCTCAATTTATGCCCCTCAAATGTTCAATGCTAATATGTAATTGCATTATCATTACGGTGTTCTGTAGCTCTGTTGGCAGCTCACTCAGATCACACTGAGTATCCATGGTTCGATTCCCAGTACAGGTAGTAACACTGGGCCTGTTTCCTCGAAACACCTGCTGTTCCTGTTCACCTAGCAGTAAGTAGGTACCTGATTGTTAGCCGACTGGTGTGGGTCGCATCCTGGGGACAAAATTAACCTAAGTAGCGCGAAATGTTCTGCATAAGTAAGTTTATTCAGGTATAGACAAATACAGTTACATAGTATGTCAGCTAGATCTGTACAAGTTGTATCATGTACTTATAACAATATTATTTATTATTATGAAAATTATGCAGCACTCTGCACTAGCAGGAGATGCAACATTTCCCTGATGAAAAGCAGGGGTGCCACGAGTACATTGAGACAACACAATAAGTGTCCGGGGCCCAAGACTCTTCAACTAACTTCCAGCAAATATAAGGGGGATTACCAATAGACCCCTGGCTGTCTTCAAGAAGGCACTGGACAAGTACTTAAAGTCAGTACCTGACAAACCGAGCTGTGGTTCATACGTCTGTGTGTAGCCGGCACTAACAGCCTGGTTGATTAGACTCTGATCCACCAGGTGGATCAGAGTCTAATCCACCTGGTGGATCAGGGGCATTGACATTTGGAACCCTCTCCAAGTAAACTCCGGATAAACCTAACAGCGTCCAGTGAAGCAGACAGGACTCTGGTTATGTCAAGGTAACTCACTCGATGTAAGATTTATGGCTTGTTTTCTGGTGCAATTCATCATAAAACAAGTTTTAAGAAAAAATATGTTAATACCAGTACTTACAATTAATGATTTATATCTATTAAAAATATGTTCACTTATGCTAAATATTTCTGCCGAAAGAAAAGGTACACATTCTTGCATAATTTTTTTTAAGGCTACGATTATATGAACAAATAAATAGTTTTTCAGAGTGTGATTTTTGTCGTTCTGATTTATTCATGAAACAATGAAGTAGCCAGGTGTGAGGTAATCAGGTTTGAAGCTGTGAAATGTGAGGCAGAGGTGTGAGGTAATCACTTGTGAGGCAGTCAGGTGTAAGTCAGGTGTGTAGTCGTGAAATAAGCCCTTGCCACGAATGTGGTGGGAGTCAAGTGTATGGTAGATGTGAAGGAGTCAAATATGAGGTAGTCAAGTATGAGGTAGTCAAGCATAGTGGAAAAGTGTGAGATGGTCAAATATGAGGTAGTTAAGTTTAAGGTGGTGACGTATAGGGTAGTTTAAGAGAGAGGAACTCAAGTATCAAGCAGTCAGCCATGAAGTAATTGTGTGAGAGGTAGTCAAGTGTGAGGTAGTTAAGGGTGAGGTAGTCTCCTGTGCGGTACTCAAGTGTGAGGCAGTCTCCTGTGTGGTACTCAAGTGTGAGGTAGTCTCCTGTGCGGTACTCAAGCGTGAGGTAGTCTCCTGTGCGGTACTCAAGTGTGAGGTAGTCTCCTGTGCGGTACTCAAGTATGAGGTAGTTTCTTGTGCATTACTCAAGTGTGAGGTAGTCTCCTGTGCGGTACTCAAGTGTCAGGTAGTCTCCTGTGCGGTACTCAAGTATGAGGTAGTTTCTTGTGCGGTACTCAAGTGTGAGGTAGTCTCCAGTGCTGTACCCAAGTGTGAGGTAGTCTCCTGTGCTGTACGCAAGTGTGAGGTCGTTAAATATTAGGCAATAAGTCATGATGCAGTTGTGTGTGAAGTAATCAAATATGAGGGAGTGAGGTATAAGGCAGCTGGTAGCTGTATAAGGTACATGGTTAGCTGTATAAGGCACCTGGCTAGCTGTATAAGGCACCTGGCTAGCTGTATAAGGCAGATGGTTAGCTGTATAAGGCAGCTGGTTAGCTGTATAAGGCGACTCACTCTTAATGATGGTTACACCATCGATGGTGAGTAGGGAAGTGCTCTCCAGGTGTTGCACCTCCGGCCTCAACTCGCTAGACTCTTGCCCATACTTGCTCACTTTTCTCCACGTTACTTCCTCCTTTACACACACCTCTTCTCTTTCCTCAATCATGGCATAATTCCTGTTCATCACAGACGCACAGTTGATCACTGCAATGTCAAAATGTTCACGGTCACGACACTCTTGTTTCACTAATTTATTTGGGGTATAATCAAAGTGTTCATTCTCAAACTTTTCGTATGTATCCAGCTTAGCACTCCTGTCAACAGCATCCAGATTATAGCCATTATTATTTTTTAAATATATTCTGCCTCCGTGTGCGTCTTGCTTAGTGTTCATGTTCAGCCTGTTAGGATTATGTTCATCTTCTAAATGCGAACTGTGGTTTTCCCCAGATGAGATATATTTACAAGAATTTCTACTTTCCTCATACATCTGTGTTCCAAATCCAGTCGTTGGATAGTATTCCTCAACTTCTATTTCTTCACTTTTCACAACTTCATGGCCTATACGAGTGTTGATCAATTGTGCAACATTAGCGGCAGTTATATTCAGGTGATTCTTGGTATCAGTACGATTCTCTCTTGAATACTGATGTTGGGCTGCATCTGTGTGTGTTGTCTGGAGAGAGTTGTAGTAAGGGAAAAGATGATCCTGTTCATTTGGAATTATCTGCATCCGGCTCTTTATTTGGTCAATAGAGTCAACAGATTTGCTGTCTCTCTCTAAGTTTGTTAGTTTCTGTGTTTTGTTTTTGTATACACTACTTCCATGAACCATGGATTCATTTCTCCAATTGTTTATATGTACCTTTTGATTGCTCCCAGCTGTTGTATAGTTGCCCACGGCATGCACTAGACTTACAGGGGGGCTAGTAACCTCAGCTTGCCTACAGTTGCTCTCAGATGGTACAAGGTTTACAGGACGTTTGATCTTAGATGTTCTATAGTTGTCCAGAGTTAGCTCAAGGCTTGTAGGAGAGTTTGTAGTTCTATCTGACCTGTAGATGTTGACATTTGGCGTAAGACTTGTTTGCAGTCTTGAGGCACCAACTGATCTAAGGTTTTCTATTGATGCAACGCTTACGAGGGGTTGTCTGGCTCTACCTGTTTTGTAAATGGTCAAATTTTCTCCAGACTGTTTACATAGGCTTTGAGTCGCAGCTGCACAGTTATTCACAGGTAGTGCAAGGTTTGCAACTAGGCTTGGGGTTCTAGCAGATGGCACAAAGTATGCTGAAGAACTTGAGGTTTGGTGAGTAACATTTTGTTTGTTAACAAATATCTCGTTACCCAAATGACTTTTTGTACCAGCTGTTTGAATGTGAGAAATGTCACCAAGCTGATTCATAAATGTGTTGTATTTCTGCACAATTATGGCCGGATTGTGAAGCTTATTTGCAGTCGTTAGCTTCAATAAGTCTTCGTAATTACATCCCCCATGTTGACAATGCTCAATCAAATGTCTTACCAAAGCTTCAAATGTTTTGTATTCCTGATGGCAAAAGTCACAGAAGAAACTTATATGTACAGTCTTGAAGTCGCATTTCCTAGCGTGATTTTTAACAGTTATTTTTCTGTCAAACTGTCTTCCACATATTGTGCACAAATATTCCTTAAAAGCAATTTTTTTCTTGCATGCTCGTATCCCATTTTGGTGACGCAATATATGCCTCGCAGATTTAATATTAATTCCACATTCACATCGAACACCTGTATTGCGATGAGCGTAAACATGTGCCCTCAATAATGAATTAGTGGCATAACATTTACTGCAAATGTCACATTTGAAAGACTTTTCATTCGAGTGTTTTATAGTTATATGATCTGACAAAGAAACTTTGGCGGCAAATTTTTTTCCACATTCTGCGCATTCGTAAGGCTTCTCGCATGTATGCATTTGTGTGTGATATTGTAAAGCATTTCTGTTTGGAAAAAAAGTATGACAGATCGTGCACTTAAATTTACTTGTTCCATGACACACCTTAATGTGATTTCGATAATCAATTCTAGTGATAAATTCTTTCTTACAAACTGAGCACTGATATTGTTTTACACCTGTGTGACGTCGCATGTGATCGGCTAAAGTTGCACTTTGAGTGTACCTTGCATGACAAATGTTGCACTCGTAAGGTTTCTCCCCTGTATGGCCTCTCATATGCATTATGAGAACTGATCTTGTAGTAAAAGCCTTCGTGCATTCTGTACACTTGTATGGTCTTTCACCAGTATGATTTCTTTTGTGAATATCGAGACCCGATTTGGTAACAAATTTCTTATCACAGTCCTGACACTTGTAGGGCTTGTCTGGATTATGAATTTTCATGTGCTTTGTCAGCCCTGACGCTGTTGGATATGACAACTGACATTCCTGACAACGATGTAACTTGGTCTTGGGTGCAGTGCCAGCTTGTAGGCGCTCGCTAGCTTGTTGATTGTTGGCAACTGCCTGCTGGAGGTCAGTTGCCCTTTGACGGTGTTTACCGGTGTGTTGTTGGTCTACCGTCTCCTGGCAATGTTGATCAACACGTTGCATAGTTGTAGATAATCTTAAGTCAGTTCTGATCTATGTGCATATCTGAGGTTAAGTATAATTGTTAATCATCAGCTGGTATCGACCTGTAGGGAAGAAAAAGACCATAATTAAAACGATAATAGAGTTACGGAATCTTGTAGGACTCATGAACGATGGCTAGGTTGTAAGGATTATGTAATGCACAGTCTGTCTTACAAACTATTGGACTTCTATGGCTGGGGAGCTGAAATTAAGCCCTCAAGATTGTCATAACTGGTTAACACGTTTCAAGGCTGTAATAAAACATTTGTTATTACTTCCAAGAAAGAAGTCTACAGCCAGTGAGAAGCAGTCTTGTCCAGAAGAGGCTACAATATCACAGAATCCAGGGTTACTATTCCTGCCTCATTATAATAATCATGGGAGAGCGCTACACCCCTAGGATTATATAGCGCATGTGAGTGTGGGGGGATGGAAGGTATTCATTTCTGGGAACTGGAGCACAGATTCAATTCCCTAGATCAAAAGCCTCTCAGCCAGGTCCCAAAATTTCTACTTCAACACTCCACAACGACAGCCAACAGAATTATCAGAAGATGTCGACAATCACGTGCTTCAAAAAGGTCATATGCTCCTTGACAGACTCGACGGAAAACAAAGAAATGGTTAGTAACATTGTGAAGATCTTGAATATATACATAACACGTTTATTAGCAAAAGTACCCGACAGCCCAACAGAGCGCCCAGTGGTATTAAGCAAATAAAAATACTGCAATACTGCAGTATTACATATATATATATATATATATATATATATATATATATATATATATATATATATATATATATATATATATAATATATATATATATATATATATATATATATATATATATATGTCGTGCCGAATATGTAAAACTGGTCAATTAGCAAGAACTCATTTAAAATTAAGTCGTTTCTAAAATTTTCTCTTATACGTTTAAAGATATACTTTTTTCATTAATGTTGATGTAAAAACTTATAATTTTGCTCCAAAAGAATCTTAGAAAACTTACCTAACCTTATTATAACAAGAACAATTTATTTTAGCCTAACCCAACTAAATATATTTTAGATTTGTTTACAATAATTTAATACTAAACAAACACAGTGAAATATATTTTTTTCGTTAGGTTCAGAATGATTTTGGCGAAATTATTGCATACACAAATTTTCACTTGTCCTATATGGCAAGATGAGCGTTTCTATTTAAGCCAAGATCGCAAGTTCTGCCTATTCGGCACGACATATATATATATATATATATATATATATATATATATATATATATATATATATATATATATATATATAATATAATTATATATTTATATATATTGTAACCACGACCGAGTGGTATTGATTAATAACAACACTGCGCTAGCCAAGGATTCTAACCCATGTTGTACTGGCCTGCCTCATGGTAAGCTAGAACCACATGACGCTTTAAACCACAGGTGGTCCTGTGGTTTCGTGTGGAGTGCTTTCGTGTCTTGTCACATTATCAATTAACTATGAAGACAATACATCAAAGGAAGGCATATAAATGGTCGAGACCACACCTCACCATCACATCCCACAATAAAGCAATACCTGACGTGCGATGGGACCCGACTCACAGAAAAGGAGGAACACTGTCATGAAGGACCTGTCTAGTTGGGCCAGTTGGCCTCCTAATGAGTAGGGTGTCGTCGTGTGTCAGGTGTTGCTTTATTGTGGGATGTGATGGTGAGGTGTTGTCTCGACCCTATATATGCCTTCCTTTGATGCATGTATGTATGTATGATTAACACATAGGCCGTTTCCCACTGAGGCAGGGTAACCCAGAAATAAAAAAAAAACTTTCATCATCGTTCAACACTTTCACCACCATTCACACAATCAATGTTTTGACAGATGCACTCAGATACGACAGTGTAGATGTCCCTCCAAACACCCCGAATCCTTTCACTAAATATTACTCTGCTCACACTCCAACAACCATTTCTCTCCATTCACTCGTATCTAACATGCTCATGTACGCTTGCTGGAAATCCAAGCCTCTGGCCCACTAAACCTCCTTTACCCCCTCCCTCCAACCTTTCCTAGGAATAACCCTTCCCCACCTTCCTTCATCTCCAAATTTATACTCCCTCCAAGTCATTCTACTTTATTCCATATTCTCTAAATGACCTAACCACCTCAATGACAGCTCTTCAGCCCTCTAACACTTTTAGTAACTCCACAACTAGTAATTTCCACACTGCTAATTCTGTGTATAATATTTACATCACTATTACAACCCAAACACAATAAGGCCTGTTATCCTGGGTGTGAAGGGGAGCAAGGCGCAGAACAAACATAGAAGAATGACTTTGAAATATATTTTCTTTCAACAAGAGCATTGTAATTATTTACAGCTATGTACACTATATACAGTTGGAAATGTATGTGTACAAAGCGGTTAGTCAAAGGCAAAGACACAGTCTGGAGACAGAATGGACAACCATGCTCAACCAGCTCTAGAATGGAAATGACAAGGGTGGAAAGGTGAGTGGTGACAACTACACCTCCACAATTGCCAGACCCACCTTCTCATTGGCTGAACCTGGGTTCTGATTGAACGATGGGGCCCCATCATTCGACCCTTAGTACTGGTTCACTGGTTGGAGAGCCTTTCAATGAGGGTGTGTACATGTGGCGAATAAAGGTTACATACTCTTTGCATGGCACATTGCCCTTAGACACGACATCTCCAACGCTTCCAGCCTCCTTCTCGCTGCAGCATTTAAAACCCCAGGGTTTTTCACCCAATAAGGGGGTTTTTAATTACTTTTAAACTCTTGTACTTTTCCTTTGTTTGCCCCCCATGGGATAATTTTTTTGGCTTCTCAGTACCTCAACGTGCACTCATTTTTTTTCCCTTTTTCCTTTCAATTCTATGGTTAACTTTATCCTTCTTTAAAACCATTTGGTAAAAAGTAAACCTCCCAGATATTTTAAACACATTCACTTCTTCTAAACTCCCTCCCCCCAAATGTGATATCCAGTTTTTATCTAAATATTTTGTTTGCCCTCACCCACCTTGCTGTTATCTATGTTCACTTTCCCTTTTTCCTTTTCAAACTCTTTCCCTTTTAATTTTTTGGAATTTTTTTTTTTTAAAATCTTGCAAAAGCTTTGTTATCATAAAAAAAATTAAACTGCCAACTCCCATTTTGCATTTGTTCCCTAAATTTCTCCTACCCCCTCCCCCCCAACATTTTAGCATTTCCCTTTTTTTACAACCCCCATCATAAAATTTGTTAAAAAACCCATTATGAAAATTTTTAAAAGGCCCTATGTTATTGGGGAAAGAAATGTCCCTCTCTCCTACTCCCTTAAAAAGAGTTTTCACTACCCTCATGAAAAACTTTTAAATAAAAATTAATAACTTACTCCCTTTTCCCATACACCTGAAATTATCTGAAAACTTTTTCCTTATCCCCCATATCATACGCTTTTTCTAAACCCTTTAAATTCAATGAAAATTTTCCTCCTTTATCTCAGTACCAGTTACACTTGTGCTTAAATTGAAAACCCACTTGATCTAAAATCTAAACAAAACACACACACACACACACATAGAATTACTGGTATGTATTTTCAGAAATCCCCCCCTAACCCCTCCCCTTTAAACACGAAACCACAAACCCCCATCACACAGCAAGTAAAGTAGTGGGGCCCGGGAAAACCATAATAGTTTTAAAAGAGGGTATGAAATGCCTCCCGGGAAAAATTCAGTAGCGAACGTGAAGGGGGGGGCCAGGAGCGATCTGCCCCCTGAAACCACAATTAGGTGAGTAAAATTGGGTTTGATTTACCCCTGAAATAGGTGAATACAAACACACCAAAGGTATACACCCCAAAAACAAAACATATATATACCACACACCACATGCACACACATGCACAAACACCATACACACAAAACACACTTTTCCCCACACAATGCACACACACACACCAACACAACACACACACAAAACAAAACCACCGCACACACACACCACACACATGCACCACACAGCACACACCCTTTTTAGGCCCATTTTTCAAGGGGGCATTTTTCCCCTCAGCCCTTTTTCCCCCCCCCTTCCCTTCTAACCCCATCACAGTACACCCCCCACTTCAAAGGTTTTCATTTCTTCCTTTTTTCCCCCTCCCCTTTTCCCCCTTTAAATCTATCCCTCTCTCCCACAGTGCAAAATTTCTTTACAAAAACCAACATTTACACAAGCACACATACACAAGCAAATATCCCATTTTCCACAAACACATACCCCCCCTTTCCCTAAACCTCTCCCACCCCCCTACCCTCCTCCCCCCCTTCACTACCCAAACCTCCCCCTTTCCCCCCAAACCATCAAACCCCCTCCCCAAACCATCTAACCCCCCCCCCCCCCCCCAACTACCTCCCCCCCTTCCAAAAACCTTTCCCCCTCCCCTAAAACCCACCCATCCCCCCCCCTACCCCATCTTTTCCCCTCCCCCAACCATCTTCTCTTCCTTCTGTGGAGCAAGGGGGGAACCCTAGAACTGGGGATTGAAAAAAGGGGGCCCGGAAGGACAAATCAAAGATGAGGACAGGGAGGCAGAGCTTGAAAATTGGAGGAAAACGGGGGAAAGGAGGCTAGATGAGTTGAAAGGGAAAAAGGGGGGAAGGAGGGGTTAGCATCAGTTTTGCAGAAGGTGGAAGAAATTCCCCACGCAGCAGAAAACCCCAAGTACAGAGATTTTAAGAGGAGCTGAGACATTTAAAACAGCTAGAGACAAAGATATTAAAAAAGCAGCATCGCAAGGGTTTACATCAGAAACAGATAATGGGCCCTGGGGGGAGCAGGAAAAGCTAAACGGTATGCAGGGGTCTTGTAAAACCCACAGGGGGCCCAAAAAAAGACGGGTGGCACCAACAGGGAAGAAGGGGGTTTTGGAAGACTTTTGAAGGAAGTGGGCCCTGTGCATGGACCTTACCCAGACATTTGTGGGGCCCCAGGAACAGGTGAGCATAAAAAAAAACCCAATGAGCTTAGAGGCCTTTGGCTGG